TCCCCCTCCCCTCCCCCCCCCCCCCCCCCCCCCCCCCCCCCCGCCTCTCTTCTTGCCCCAACCTGACAATCTCCTGCCTCCCTCCGCCCTGGCCACCTCCGGGCAGATTCCCAAGCACGTGCTGCTCCCCTACTCCGAGATGCTCTTCCCTGGCCAACTTCTCATCCGTCGACCCTAGGCTCACATCATCTTCGCTTGATGCCTGCCCGACTGCTGTTCAGTGGCACTGCAAACATCTCCACCGGTGCACAAGCAAAAGTCTGAATCGGTGACTTCCCTTTGTACTTTTATTTTTTTGTCTCCCCACCGCAGCTAGACTCAAGCTCCAGGAGGATGGTGACTCCTGCTGTAGTCACTGCCGGTGTACCCTTCCATGGCATGGTCCTCGGCCCCGGTCAGACACTCGTGATTATTAAGAAGGTACACGAGTAATAAAGTGATGCTGGCAAGAATAAGGGGATGAGAGGAGACATTACAGAAGGGGACAGTGGGAGCTTGAGTTCATTTTGCAAACCACAGCTGAGAGACTCCAGGTCAAACTCTGAAGCACTGGGAGCTGAGGCCTCAGACAGAGGGAGGCCCTTAAAACGCCCCCTCCGCGATCGCTGGACATCCAAGAAACAGGCCCCACTCCAAAATCTAGGTTCAAAGCTCTCTGTTTCATATCCTGCCGGAAATACCAGGATAATCTTAAATTATATACAATTATCTACATTGAAAATGTTAAAAACAAACCCGAAAATTCAGTCCATTTTAGACTTTCCAAGAAACTTTCCGAGTTTCACCAAATCTGGTCTAAGCCAATCTCCCCAAAGAACCAGTTCTCCCATCCTCCGGTCTTTCATTTTCCTGTCTTAATTTTTGATTTGGAGAAAACTGTTTCTTTACGAGGATGCTGCCTGGGGAACTTAATCCATTTGTACCTTACAACTGAGAGCTGGGAAATGGAAATACTGAGACAGTGGCTCCTTTGCCATCTTTGAATCCCTCTCAGAGCTGTGAGCAGAGCAGACCCTGGGAATGAGCCTGGAATGCTGAGCAGAGGCCGGGGCGAGAAGACGCAAATCCTCTGGAGTTGTGGGGGCAGCTGCGTTTCCCAGCTGTGTCCCCACATTGACACCCACACTGACCATGATCAATAGCTTTGGGATCACAGGTGGAAGAAGGATCTGGTTATAAACCAACACTGCCCCGGGAGGCTACGACAGCCTGCAGACTGATCACCCTGTCTGCCACCTCTCCACACCCCTCCAGCAATTGCTCAAAGCCCAAATCTATCCTGTCACCACATTCATCCACTGGGAGCTTTCGGTCACGCAGAGCTTGAAGTCCACGTTTCCTAAGTTGCGTGAGGTCTTCTTATGCATGTGACACTTGTCTTCTTGCTCAGAATTATCTCATGTCCCTCCTTCCCATTCCTCCCCAGTGGCCTTTTGTTAATACCCATGGTTACATCAGATAATCGCACATCCCTCACCTTGCACCCTGATAAACTTTTCTGCATTTCTTTCAACCGCAGAGACCCTTCAGTTCCCGAATGTGTTCTTGTGACTCCTTTCCAAGAGTGTTCCCACACAGCCACCTTCCTCCTTAGCGTCAGCCTCACTCTGCAGAGAAGCACTCTCTGCATGATGAAAGCACTGGCTTCTGAGTACAAACGCCTGGCTTCAACCCAGGCCCCACCACTATCTCCCTGTGCCAGTCCTTCCTGCACACACAGCTGGATAATCCTTCCTCTTTGCTTTCAGTAAGGTATGGCCAAGGACCTGATTACCATAACCCAACACAAGAGGCTGTGTGTTCTTTCTGGGTCTCACCTATGAAAACCTCCCACTCGTGACCCTTCAGTGCCATTTCCCATCTGCCTTCTAGAAGCAAAGGACCATGAGACCCAAGACCATGGTGGAACCATTAGGTGAGATGATCCTGAGTCCGTGAATCTCCTTGATGATAATCATCCACCCAACATCCACCTCGAATTGCTATGTGAATGAATGAAAAATAAACTTCTATGTGTTAAGACAGTGTAGTAACAGCCAGAATAACACATTAGTTCTGCAAGTTCCTTAGTGGATTTGCTCCATGGGAATAACAATAGGGTAGTTGAGAGGATTAGATAAGCTATGTGAAGCTCTAGGCACAGAGCTAGAATACTAAGCCCCCAGTATAGGTGGACTAGTATTACTTTATTAGTCATCCTTTAAGTGAAGGATGATCAAAGGCCAGCCTGGTGCTCTGGGAGCGAACCTCTCACCTTTTTACTTCTTGCACGTAGTCTGCATTTCTGTCAAAGAGGTGCGTCACGGAGTCTTTGATTGCTTCATGCTTGAAAGTAGAAGCTGTTCCAAAGACGGTCACGTTGGGGATAGTGGAACACAGCTGAGCCACAGCTTGGCCCTGGAAAGGATATACAAACAGGCAAGTCACACGCGAGAGCTACCGTGTGAAACGAGGTACTGTATAACACAGGTCGCGGTGGTGTTAGCTGTCTAGCAGCCCGTCTCACTAGGGTTTCTCAACTTCGGTGCTATTGTGCTGGCATTTTTAGGCTGGGTTAGTCTTTGTCCTAGCAGATAAACTGCACTGTAAGTTAGTATCCTCCCTGGCCTTGACCTGTGAGCTGCAAGCAGCTCCTTACCACTCCTATCTGTGACAACCAAAAAATGTGTCCAGATGTTGTCTGGAAGACCAACTCTGCCCTGGCTGAGAATAAGTGGTGTAGAGGAACAGCCAGTGAGGGTCAGACAAACCCCAGCCCCCAGACTCTACTGTCACTCATATACATGGAGCTAACTGGCAATAATGCAGCCTGCTCCACTGGGGGATATCTCAGTCTGGATCTCCCAGAAGCAGACCCTGGGATGGAATTTGAAGGTACGTACTTATCTGGAAGATGATCTCGGAAAATAACATGGTGCTAAAACCAGTGAAAAAGGCAGCCGATGAAGGATGTGTTATCAAGCCCAGATTCTTTCCTTGGAGGACATGAGCCAGTGCAGAGCAGACCTAAGAGGCGTCCCCACCGAGGGGTGAGGAAGCTGGGGTATTCACCCAGCATGCATCCGTCCAACACTGGCTGAGGACTACTTCTGCAGTAACTCGTGTGCACCTGTGGCTTGTCATTATGGGCCAAGTGGGGTCCCATGGCCACACGGAAGCCCCCAGGAAGCAACTTCCAAGTTGTGGAGCACAGAGCAAATGCTGTATGGCCGAAAGATCTGCTACAGAGAGATGTTAAATGAGGTATTATACAATGCAGGGCAAGGACCCGGTGCAAAATGTGATACTTAATAAATCTTAATTTTCTTCCTCCCGAAGGGCATATTATATTCAGGGCTGAGATGTCCAGGCATATCAAGAAAAGGTCGACATGAATTTTCAATACTAAATAGTCAGAGGGAAATTATAAATGCAGTTAGGAGTGGGTGATTTTCTATATCCTTTTTCAATGTGGTTGAAATCTAAATCACTGGACAAAGTATTGTGACCATATACTATCAGCAACCTCCTAGCAAAACCCAATTTGCCAGTCATTAGGATGCTTCTAAAACCACTATCTCTTTCCAGCATCCCATCTGCCATTTTAAGGAGGGAAATTATTCTCCCAAAGTCATGTGTGATATTAATTTCTGCCTATCATCTTGTTTTCATGTCTTCGGGTTGGTGGGTAATTCAGGTTGGCAGGTCAATTTATGGAAACGTTATCACCAGTTGCAATTACAGGAAACATGGAAAGACTCCTAGAATGTCAGAGCTGGAAGATCACCCAAGTGCCTGCCCCATCATTGTCTTATAGATGAGAGCAAGGGCACCCAGGGAGGAAAAGGTCACCACCATCAGAGGCACATCTGGGATCAGAGCAAGGCCTCCTGGCTTCCCCGATTGCCATTTCCTACTATGCCCTTCTGTCTGCTGATTTTAACACTTTAAACTACACAGACTTTCTGTTGCTACCTAAAACAGACATGTCACTGGCAGTCACTTGGAGGCCAACGTTTCAGAACATGGGTGTGACCACAAGACTACACATAGGCTACGTTCTCCATTCTAAGAATAGCTTTGATATTTAATTTTTTTATTCCAGATTTTACACGATAAAGATGGTTCTATCTCTTGTAGTGAGTGCAAATATCAGCAGCCACAGCAACAAGTCCCTAAAATTCTCTGGCTCCAACTAAGCCATGGTAGGAGCTCCATGACTGGACTGAACTTTAGACCTAGACTAGAAAGTCAGAATGAATCTCAACAGCCTCATAGTCATGCTTGCCCTCTGTCCTGAGGCAAACATGATCTTCATTCATTTGGCTATTCTCAAATGTCCAGGATGGGGGTCGTCAAACCGTGCCACAGATGCCAGGGCATCAGAAACTGTCAGCACACCTTTTTCCCAAGTCCAGGCCGCTCACTGAGTCCCGGACTTATACTTATAACAACCATGTGAGCATCTGTTTTCAATCTGGCTGTCCCCAAAATAACACATCAAACTCAACCTCCCCAGAGCACAGCACACGAGCATCTGCAAATGAGTTGATTAACTGAATTAGTTCGCTAGGGCTGTTGTGATGAACCACCATAACTCGGTGCCTTAAACAATCAGCTGTGAAATTCACGTTCTGTGACAGTCTGGGGCTTGAAGTCCAATATCAAAGTTATGGCATGGTTGGTTCCTTCTGGGGGAAACAAGGGAAGGGTCTGTTCTGAGGCTTCCTCCTTGGCGTGTAGGTACCCCTATTCTCCATCTCGCCACATCATATCCCCCCAAACCGATTTCTCGTGTCCAAATTTCACCCTTCTTATGAAGTCACACTGGGGCAGCATCGACTCTCATGGCCTCACTTTAACTTGCCTGCTTCTGTAAAGGTTCTGCTATCACTTGGATCTTAAATATCCCCCCAAAGCCTCTGACCATGTGTTGAAGACATGTTCCATAGCGTGGAGCTATGAGGGGGTTGTGAAGTCTCTAAGAAGTGAGGCCTCTAAAAGGTAGGAATTTTCAGGTTACTAGGGTTGTGTTCCTGAATGGGACAGCAGGACTCCAGCCCCTTCCCCTCTCCTAGCTTCCTGGCCGCCAGGAGGTGAGCAGCCTTCTCCACCATGTGCATCCGCTCTTGATTCGATGTTTCAGCACAGGCCCAAAGTAACAAGGTCTACTGATCATGGACTAGAAACATCTAAAACAGAAAGACAAATAAACCCTTGCTCTTTGTCAGCTGACTTAGGTATTTGTTATAAAGATGGAATGCTGACAAACACACACACCACCTCCATATAAGGTCCCGTTCTGAGGGTTAGCTAGGAATTTGGGGGAACACAATTCAACCTATATATTTCTCTTATGCATCCCCTTCTTCTGTGAACCGGAGTGGACTCTTCAGTCACCAAAGATGGACCCTGGCATTACCCATCCCCTCACCCCTCTCCCTCCCTCACCCTATGTCCAGCCAGGCACCCAATATTCTCTTTCTCCTCAGCATCTCTTGTGACTGTCCCTTCCTGGACTGGGTGACCACATTCCCTTTCCTGGATTATGCCACCACTCCTCTAAGGGTATCCTCCTGTGGTCAGAATCCCGTTTTCCAAACACAACACGAAGCATTTTGTTATTTGCTTCAAAATGTCCTAACGCCTCTCACAGCTTCCCCAGGAAAGTGCACACTCTTCCTTCTGTCACACAAGAACAGCCCTGTGACCTGACCCTGCCTGTCTTGCTAACATTTTCCCCTCTACTCTCCCAGCATCTTCTCTCTACAAGGCCATGGAACTTGAGCCACTGCTGAGCATTTGCCATGAGCCTGGTGCCAAGAGACCCTGATGTGGTGGCCCAAGGCTGCCAGAGTCAGTGTAAGGTGTGCTTCACTCCTTAGTGCTGCATTCGCCAGCTGGTGCTGCACTCAACACTGAACCTCTGCCGATTCACCTTCAGTGTGTGTTAGCGTACAACGTCTAGGATTGGACTGGAATCATGTGACAGATTCAGAGAGCTCAGGACAGTGAATGCTCAAGAAAGATCTGCTGTCACTCCTATGAAGACTGGTGCGACTCCTTTCCAGGGGGTCATTAGGTCGGCAGTGGCAGCAGATCTGTGCCCTTCCACCAGCGCCTCACACATGGGGCTGTTTCAGCATCTGTCTGCTTTGTGGCATGCAGAATGGCCGTCCCTCCTCACCTCTTTCTTCTCCAGACACAGCTTCTTCCCTCTTCCAAGAGCCTTTTCCAACATCCCACACACCTTCTTTTGTGCCTCCACAGTCCTGTGGGTACTTCCCCAAGGACAGTAGCCACTGCAGCCTCCTGGGCTTCCCTGGGCACCTTGGTGAGTTCTGGGAGGGCAGGGGCCGTGCCTGGCCTGCTCTGTCCCCAGGGCCCACTCAGGGATGGGCCCACAGCAGGTGTGTGGTGAAGCTTGCTGAACGGATGCATGAGGAACTGCAGGAGGTCCTGGTCCTCCTGCGGCTGCCCCTCCACCCCCCTGGTGTGGCTTTTAGAATTGTAGAGATGGAGTAAAGCATAGGCTCAGAAAATTACATCTGTTTTGACACACAGCATTATCCATATTTCAATACAGATACCCCATGTGTAGTGGCTGGTTCAGGGTAACTGACACGCCTATCACCTCACACATGCAGCACTCCTTGTGTTGGGAACATTCAAAACCCTCTCTGCGAGCAAGCCTGAAACATTTGCTTAATTGTTGCCAGCCGTAGTTCCCCTGCTGTGCTGTGGAGTAGCAGGAGTTCTGCCTCGCACCCACTGCACCCCGGTGCCCATGAATCCTTCTCTCTTCACCCCGCCCACCGCATTGCTTCCCAGGTGCCGGTAGCCACTGTTCTAGCCTCTACTTCTCGGATACTAACTTTGTAGCTTCCAATATGTGGAATCACGTGGTCCTTGCAGTGGGCCCTGACTTGCTTCTGTTTGGCATAACGTCCACCAGCTGCACTTGTGTTGCTGCAGATGACAGAATCCAATGATTCTCCGGCTAAATTATATACCAGTTGCCATTTTCTTCACCCGCCCAGCCACCGATGGACATTGAAGTCTGTTCTGGGTCTTCGAAGCTGTGACTAGTGTGGCGATAAACATGCGAGTGCGGGACTTTGTTCAGCCTACGATCTCACTTACTTTGGGTGTATACCGGGCGGGGGGGTTGCTGGATGGCGGGGCGCCTCTTTTTCTAGTTTTCTGAGGAAATTCCGTACTGACTTCCATCAGAGCTGTGTTAATTTACATTCCCACCCACCAACCATGTGGGAGAGTCCCCTTCTCCCTGTGAGTGTCAATGTAATTGACATACGCCACCTCTGACTGAAGCAGGACTCCCCTGTCTGCACTGTAGAGTGATGCATATGGCCAGAGAGAGAGAGAGAGAGAGAGAGAGAGAGAGAGATGCTAAAGTA